AAACCGAAAACCAAATCAAACCGATTAAGTAATCCGATATATTTTTTTGATTTGGATTGGTTTTGGTTTTAAATTTTAAAACCGATAATATTTGATTTGGTTTTGGTTCTATTATAAAAAATCGAAAATTAAACCGAACCAAATCGATTAATGATATACAAAATTTAATAATTATTTATATACAATATAATATATTTTTTTAAATAATTTTAAATATTTTATGCAATTTAATTGTTATTTTAAATTTTGGTTTATCCTACTTATATCTTAAAAGATTGCCTACGCCCAAAACAATAGGAATCAACCAATTTTGTTTTCCTTAAGAGACTTTAATTCTCTAACCCTCCGCACATATTTTTGCCTAACAGAAGAGTTAAAAAATATCCTACCATAAGAGTAAAGAAAGCAAACTCAAATTGCAGGACTACAATGGCTAAAGCTTGAGAAAGCAAACTTTTAGTTGTTTTTTTGTTCATTCTTTTCATATAAAGATGTAAATAAACTTTCAGTTCCAAAAGAAATATATAAAAAAGTATAAATTTAGCAAATTATTTTCAGATTATTGTCTAGTGTTGTTTCACTATTATCGACTTATTATTAGCTTACTACGAACCAAAAAACCGAACCGAACCAATGACAACCAAATCGATAATTTGTATTTAATTTAATTTAGTTTTGATTTTAAAATTTTTAAAACCGATTAAATTAGTTTGATTTTGATTTTAATCAAAAACCGATCAAACCGAATCGTGAACGCCCCTGCCAATGAGCTTGACCGGACAGGCTCTAACACTTTCTTACATACGTCATATCACACCAGCAGAAACAAAAACAATTAATGGTTCTATCTCTCAACTACAAATGGTTGAAAATTTACAAAATTGAGTTAAAGCAAAACTTGAATTTCAGGCACTTTATCATTCCAACTACGGATTAATTGCATACGAAGGTAATCCCAACATCATGTTACTTGCTCCTAACAAAACAAAATTTGCGGGGAACTATAACCACTTTTTGAACTTCTCTTATTGTAAATTGTAAATTATATCAATATCCAGAAAGTGTTCCAAACATGATAACACTAGGAAATTTTGCCTCCTATAGCAAAGGTATACACCTTATTTATTATAAATCAAAATTATTTTAAAATATTATTTTTTATAGCTAACCTTTTATATTTATAACAAAATAAGTATTTATGGTATATACTATCATTGAGGCATAACATACACTATCTATATTTTCTCTCTCTCTTAGACAACGGGACATACCTATTTTTAAGGTGATTGTTGTTATTGTATTCATGAATACATGGCGCGAATACATGTAAATACATACGCGCACAGCTGGATTGCCCTGATTTTAGGCGTTTTTTACTACTGTATTCATGAATGCACCAGCGTGAATACATGTGCGTACAGTTGGACTACCCTAACTTTAGGCGCTTTTTGCTTTTGTATTCATGAATACTTGGCGGGAATACATGTGAATACATGCACGTACAGTTGGGTTGTCCTGATTTTAGGCGTTTTTACTACTGTATTCATGAATACAGCAACGCGAATATATTTGAATACATGCGTGTACAGCTGGACTACCCTGATTTTAGGCGCATTTTGTTGCTATATTCATGAATACATGTGAATACATGCGTCACATGTGCGCAGCTGGACTGCCCTGATTTTTAGGCGCTTTTTGCTACCGTATTCATGAATACAGCAGCGCGACTATAATGAATATACTACCGTAACAACTGAATACTAGTTATAGAAAATAATTATGTATATGATAGCTATAGAAAATTAGTAACTACCGAATAATAGTGGTTTCAAAAATTCCTGATAATACTATCGCATTAGCTATTTCTTCACACAAACATACATTATAGCACTAATGGGCCACTAGATTCATAGACTAGTTTAGGGAGATTGTATGCAAGGAAAAACTACAATTTTTGCCACCTTGGTTTCAGTAAATTAAATTCCATTTTTGATACTTCTTTTACATCAAAGTTAACTTACTTTTAAAGTATCAGAATTACTTTTCTTTGCATAAAGTACGGGTATTCTCGTTGTTTAACATTTGAAAGTTGTCAATATTCGAAAATTTGTTGGTGAGGCACTGAAAATGCAAAACTCTATTAGTTGTAAGTTAAATATGCTATAAAATATACCGTTTGCTAGTGACCAAAAGTTTTGTTATCCTATGTTGTAATATAATTAAATAAAATAGAGTAACGAGATAATAATTAATGGAGTAATAAGATCGCGTGTTAGAGTTATGGGAACCGAAAATCTCTCGGTATAAAACGTTTACTCTCTTATCTTATATTGATCCCTCCCTCAAAATACAAATCAAAGGTTGGACCTCCGATCTTCTAATTTCCATGATTACACGAGATAAACTAGCACTAGAATATAGATCAAGAGGGTCCTTAGCCAATATACAAGTGTTTAAAGTCAAAGTGATTAACCTTAATTAGCATCCATTAACAAGTATAGAATAAAGATCACCATGTTGCCTTTTGTCTATTAACAAGAAAAATGTTGGAGGTGATTTAATAATTGAGCCCTTTCTTTTTCCTTTTTGACCTTTTACTCTCAAAAACATTTAAATTTCTCCACTTTGTCCCACGAAGAAGTCTTTGTCTTAAATGAATGACAAAGTGCTAAAATTACCACAAACGCAAAGGTACCCTTTTAAAAATGCTCACGCAAAGGATAAGAGGTGGGTCCAGAATAAGATTAATATTTTTCCTACTTGTTAGAAGAGGGAATAGAAAGCTCTCCGTTAACATGCTTGTGCCTTACGAGGATAAATTGGTCATTTCGTGTGNCATCGGACTTAGTTTTACCTTGTAATAATCTAAGTCCTTTTCATTGTAATCATAGGCTAGTTTTTATCATTTTCATTTCAGTGTGCTTCTACAGCTTTATTAGGGCTAGTTTTGTAATGTTGGTTTATTTTTTTTAAGCATTATTAAGGGGGACCAAACAATCAAACATTT